GCGCCGCCCGAACACGCCGTGGCCGCTCATTTGCCTCCCGAAGAAAACGTTGTGACCACGTCCCGAAGTAATAAGCAACCCATCCCTCTGTGTGTCCCAGGGACCGCCCGAATAGGACAACACGTCCGGAGTTAGATGGATGGGTGGATGGAAGGGCGGTTTTCAATCTTGCATTTCACCGAAGAGTCAAACGAGGCCCAGCCTTGATACAAACTCTCTTTTGATTATGTGAATCTCGCGATGCTTGAATGTTTTGCCTTTCTGTGTTGCGCAGCATTCGCCGACAGCCTGCTTGTCCGTCGCCGAAACTTGTTGTAACTTGTTTCCTGTTCCTCTCTGTGTGGGCATGGCATCAGAACCGTGCTGCGACTGCTTCCGCTGCTGCTGCCCCCATGGCCATGTATCGTCAACTTGCCGGGTTGGACATTATTCAGTTCACATTGCCGGCCGGGTCACGGCAATGCAATGCGGCTGGGTAGTTGGCAAAAGCCCAGCAAAGCAATCTGCTCCCCATTTACCGCCACAACTTGCTTTCGGTCGTTGACCGAGGAGCCCCATTTTGCGATCATCAGCGCCTCATACCCCAGAGTAACCCAGGCCCCATCATCTGTGGCGTTACAACGAAGCAACATCGGGCAAGGAACCCCGACATTGCGGGTTTTTGCTTGTCCACTACCACAGCAAGTGTAAACTCTGTTGGAAGAAAGAAACTTGAACTTCTGAAGCTACCCCAATATTTTCTGTTACCTTTTCCATACCCAACTTACGTACTTCCCGCATCCACAGCAAGAACAATGGCAAGAAAGCCAGCGAGCGAGGGAGAAAGCTAGGGTAGCAGAAACTCTCTTTGTTCCACTATGGGATCATCACCCATGGGATTCTAGTGTCCGGCCCGTCACTTTTGACATTTGCCCATCTCTATTTGCGTTCACCCGGACCCTGAAGAACTTCCCTGGCAGCTGCTCTCGTGACTCTGGCCATTACGCAAAGTCTACGCACTTGGAGCTGTCTTTTGCGTTGGAGGATTGGCCCTCGGTCGTAACCTGGAGTTGTAGGATCGACGGAGCTCGTCCTGTCTAGCCCTGTCACTGACCCCCGTCGCCTCGCCCCTCCGCCTGCCTCTCAAAATCAAACCGAGACCCGTCCAAGGCTTGTACAGACCCCCGCCCACTGCTAGCGAAAATCCCACTTTTGCACAATATGCCCAGGGCCATGAGTAGTCAGAGGTCAAGAAGCGGCCAGCGGAGAATGGGCAATCAGAAAGTCTTGGCTTTCTATTACGAAACATCGAAACCCTTACTACACTAGTCGACATCTCCGTGGTCTGCCAAGCTAAGGCAGAGTAAGGTTTGGGACGATTTCGCCAAGAGCCCACGCCGCGGTAGCAGAGATAATACACTACGAGCGAGCTACGAGGCCTTGCGAGCACATCGGACTTATTACACTGGCGACGAGGGGGTACGTACATCGAGTCGAGCCCGCCTGATCCCCCCTTCCCTTCCCTTCCCTTCCCGGAGCGGCTCACGATCTCTGATCTAGCCGACGTCTCGGGCCCCGCAAAGTACCATAGGCCCGCGCTCTCCTTGGATGACCAGAGACGCGCACGCGCCTCACGGGGAGATTTTGTGGGAAAATCCAGCCGAAGATTTGGCTCGGTAGAATTTCTTCCAGCCATTGCTTTAACATTCAAGCCACATCCGTTGAGTTTGTCTAGTAGTGAGCCCGTCAAAAGTCAGCCTCTCGTAAAGCCATAAGCTGTCAAGTGCCTGACAACGTTGCCCGGATAAGGCCCAGCTTGCGGAGAGGCTGAACATCCCAGGGCTGAAGAAAATGGAAGTCTACATGGAAGATCTAAATTATAGCTCAGCCGTGCGTTACGTCCGTAAGTCCGACACGCCATCAAGCCATAGTTCCATGGCGCCATACTCTATTCCCGGGCTAGAAGGGGGAGAAGGGGGAGATGGCTTCGCGCCGGCGCCACGCCAACGCCACGCTACCGTTCAGACGGCAGATGCGAATCCCGTTGCTGTCTGAAATAATGGGAGGCCATGGGAAAGAGACGGGAACTGCAAGCAATAGCCAGGAATCAACACCGGGGCGGTCGAGATTGGCCGTCGTGAAACAAGTCGTGACGGTCTTACAACTGAGCGTCGGTCGCTCATCAACGGAGATGTGTCCCAGTTGGGAAAATGCTAGTCGCTCCTCCGAAAGGTAAAACGGGGATCACGGCTTTGAAGGAGCGGCATCAACGACAATCACAAGTTGGTGCCTGGCTAGCGGGTTGGAAGGGATGGACGACGATTAATGGGCTGGCAGGTCGGGCCGGGCCAAGGACGAGCTGTCCCGTGTGGCTAGGGCAAGATGTGTATGCATAGGCGTGTGTGTGATGGATGCGATGTGATAATACAACACGCTTCGTCTGCCGCCGCGGAACGTCCGTCTTTCAGAGTTTGTTTCTGAATGAGTGGGTTCTTCGGACCCGGTAGTGGATCGGTCACCATCCTGTTCTTGTTGGCGGTTTTCCCAGGACCTGTGCCTCACGGCGCTCGCCTTGCCTTGCCATTCGAGCTCCGGGACTGTCAGGCACGGAACGGAAGATGTCTTGGCGACTCACGGTGATACGGGGAAGAGGGATGGGGCTGGTGAGGCAAGCCGAGCTGGGGTCCGCCAACAACATACGAGGCCTTCACCCGGCCGAGCGACCGGTGTACTCTCCGATGCCAGGTTGGCGGAAAGTCCGCGCTAGAGCTGGGTCTGTGGTACTTCGGAGTAATTAACGTACCCAGGCAGAAAGACTGAGCACTGGGCAGTACCTAGTCATGAGAGAGTAAGAGACAGATAGCTTCCAAGGGGACAGTGAAGAGAATGGGCAGCACAGGGGCCAAGTTCAGATCCCGAAGATGCTGGGGGGTCCCTAGGGACTGCGGATGGAAGGAAAACAGAGTTTTGGTCCAAAACTTAGACAGCTTGTGTGGCTTCCACATGGTTATCATTTTTGGAAACCCCATCTCACTCATAGCTGACAACGTCTGACGAAAAAGTCAGAAAGAAGGGTTCTGCTCCGTGAAAATTCGGGTCGAGTCAGGATTCGACGGTCCACCGGTTCCCACCAGTTCCACCGGTTGGACGTGTTGCCCTGGTCCTCATTCTAGAAGACCGAGAACTTTAAACAATGGGTAATGACAGGGGTTAAATGTGCTTGTGTGGGTTGAGAACGAGCCGTGAGGGTCTCGCTGATCATGCAGACGCCTGACAAACGGGACACACCAACAGTGACAACTCCATCTGCGTACGGATACTGCGTATGCGTATGCGTATGGCGGCACGAGAGTCCTACACACTCAAGGGAAGCTGTGGATGCTTCCCGTTTGAGGTACACGGTCAGGGTCCGGTCAGCCCGCGGTGAAGCGGTCGCCAGAACCCACCTCCCAACTCCATTGTTCCGTCATACACGGTGTAATACCAAACCTTCACGTCCACTTTGTTTAGTGAGAGTGGACATGACCGTCCGTTGTTGTCGTCGACGTCGTCGTCGACGTCGGCCAGCTCCTACCGTACCGCACTGCTCTCCCTCGTCCTCGTCCCGAGACCCACGGGGCCTCCGGGTGGGGAGGCGAGTCGCGGAAAGGAAGGGCAAAGCGAGAGGACGGCACACCATCGCCCTCCCGTGGCATCGTTCCGCACTCTCAGACTCCAGAGTCCAGAGGCCCTCGAGGGTCTGGACTGCCCCCATGCACTTCGGGAGATTGTGGGCGGGTCAGCCTGGACGGGGGAAGGCACATCGTCGTTCCCCTCTGCCTCAACACGGACTCATTTTGTCGCGTGGCTATTATCAGCCCCGTCTACTATCGTGAGCCCCCTTTGGTCGGCCACATTCCGTTGCCCACTCCTACCACCACCACCACCTTCGGTTCATGTGGTGGGCGCACACCGGAGCTGCGTCACCTGTATCGATCTGGACATCACGGCCGGCCGGGAATCCCCTCACGGCGTCAGCTCGGTGGCCTCGCCGCAGCCAGGCCGTAGTTCTAACATACTCCATCTGTTTGTCACGGACCTGAGCGCAAAAGCCGACAGCAGCACGGCAGGAGCACAAAGCTCGCTCCACCACTAGATCGCGATCTCTTGGGAACCCTGAGTTGAGCATGATTCTCGAAGCCCGGAAGAACATCGCTAGCGCGGTTTGCAACACTGCGCTTGGACAGCGCTGTCTCTCATCTGCCCAGTGCCTCTGTTCCGGCCTGCACACGAGCACCCTTCATCCGTTCCGGTCTCCACGGCCCAGGGCCCTCATCGGGCCGCTGGCTTTCGGGCATGACGTTTGGGAACAAAAGATGGGCAAAACTTTCGACCTCCCACACGCTCGGGAGTTACGGCTCCTTGGCCGCCCCAGCCAAGTCCGCAATGCATACCGCCAGCAAACACAAATAAGTCCATCCGTTGGTCAAATTGCCGCGCAGTTCCGGTAGCACTCTTGAATCGAGAGTAAAATTATATCAGGCCAAGCCAAGTACATGTATTATACACACAAAACCGCACAGAGTTTGCGAGTCTCTTGGTTGCGGGATGACAATGCTGAATGCTGCGTCTATGGTTGAGTGGATCTATAAGCCGTCAATATCAAAGTAGGGCCGATCTGGCCGTCAATCCCGAGAAAAACACGAGCGAGTGTGTCGCCCATTGATAGGTAATACATGATTAAAGGAGGAGCTGGAGGAGCACGGCATCCCAGGGCCCTTCCGACCCGCCGGGCAAGAGTGGAGGTTTGGTGACGGAGTTACGGTCCCATTTGACGGCCGGTTTATTTGCTCCGCCGTTTGCCGATCTGCCATCCCCATGATCTGAGCACTTTGACAACCTTTGGTGTTACCGCTGCAGTCAGAGGGACTCGGAGGAAAATGAAACTTTTGTGGATTGCGTACGCCAACGCAAGTTGAGTTCCCAGGCCTGCAACAACGCAAATTGGTGAGTTGTTCCGTCTCGTCTGCCAAAAGAGGGTCTCAAAGCATCAAGGGGACGAGGTGCATGAACTTACTGGCTTCTGCCCGGTTGCGCTCCTGGGCTTCTTCCACTCCCCAGCCTGCCATTTCGACAGCCTCGCTGGCCTCGTTGCTGCCAAGCTGCTGAGTCTCGGCCTTGGTAAGCGCCGCTCTGTACTCATGCCACCAGGTCTTGACCGACTCAGGTATGATTTGCTTGATATGGGATGTTACCCAATGCTCGAGCTGGCCTATGGTTAACGTTGTCAGTATAGCGGATCCAACACAACTGCAGTTGCTTTTTCGCTCACCAATTCTGTCTGTGCCAACAACCCGGACGAGCAAAAAGCAGAAGGGAAAGTCAAGGACGCTCAAGGCCAAATACACTCCCACCGCCGACCAACCGTATTCCTTGGAAAGTTTCTTCAGCCTCTGACTTAATGACAGCGATTCCTGGGCGGGTTTCCCGTCCGCAGTATTCCTCTGTCTGGCGGAAAAACGAAATGTCCGGCGCGAGGCTCGGGACACGGTCTGCAAACGAGCTGCAATCCAACTCCAGCTGTTTATTTGGGCGCGACGAGTCGTGGACTGTGATGCGCCCGTCCTCGTTCCTCCAGCGCGCGAGGGCGTTGTCGTGAGCGGGCGTCTGGGCGACGTGAATTGCCTCCTCCATACTGCCTCCCAAACATTTTGTCTTGCTGTCGGCATGGCGCGGCGCGGTATGGCCGCGACCTGCTGGAAGGCTGGTCGCATCATAGTGTTGAGTGGTGATGATAGTGACGCCACCTGATGCTTAGCACAAGATTTGTTGCTCCTGGTAGGTTGGAGGTGCGGGCGGACAGGCTCGAGTCAAGGGTAAGGGCGGTGGTCGAGACTCCGGAATATCGATGGTGAGGCGCCGAGCTCGATTGCGTTGCAGAGTTTGTGGAATTAGTGTTGGGAGCTTGTGGTGGCCTGCTGAGAGCTTGAGGTCCGAATCGCCGTAAACTCCGGAGTGGGATTGATTGTGAGTACTGATGCGCAAAACCGTGTTGCACCGGATGCTTCCGAAGGTTCCTCGCGGGGCTGGAGCGATAAATTCAATCTGCCCACAGGCCGGGTGATTCGGATTGATGAGTGCCCAGTGTTGGTTGAGTGGCGTGCGTCCCGTGGAAGCCACGTTTATTCGCCTCGCTTCTTTGACCGTCGATTTGGGAAAAATTCTGTCGAGAATGGAGCTCTTCCGACGAACTCCTAGCTTCGGCGACGTCGTGGGTACCTCTGGCTGGTTAGGATAGGACGGAATCTGACGGAACATGCCGTGTCTGCTGTGACCTCATGACCACGTGATACGTACATCACGGAAGAGGAAGCCGCCGATGCCGACTACATTCCTTCCATTTCATTAGGTCAGCCATCCGTACGAATAGCTACGACACTGAAATAGGTAGGCGGGGTCCATCTGACCCCAGCTGTCGTCCTGGGTCGGATATTACCTCAGCCGCGAGGGGTACACTAGCTGCTGACATAATGTGGTGTCCTGCACAGCTGGTGCTTACACCCCTGTCCGATATCCACCTCCCGTGTTGTTGCTCGTGCCACATACGCACACACTTTCCACCCCCAGCCACAAGCCAGCAACTTTACGCCCATCACGCACCACTACGACGTCTTCGCGCTACCCGACACCAGACAACTTTCCCACCAACAAGATGCTTCATTGTTTCACACAGACCAGTCCGTCCATCAGACTTGCTGCGCCCAGCCTTTCTGCAATTGCAGTGAATCACTAATTCGCAATCAAATTATTAAGGTGTTAACAAGCGCCGCGCTTTGGTTTTGGCCTCGGATTCGCATCAATATGCGAGCACTCACTGAGTTAAAGTGCCACGGCGCTGTGAGTTGGGTTTCCGTTTATTGCCCAGAGTCTGAGTCTGAGTCTGAGTCTCCGTGGAAAACTAATTTGGTCACCTATTTCCCTCAGGATCTCTCCGGTGCCCCGCGATCTCCTCCGGGTTGAGGGATTGTGTTGGAAAGACCCAGGGCCCAGGGCTACGAGCAGGGGCTCCCACTTGGGAAGCTCCTCGATGGCTTAAGCTCCGTGACACCTCGGAGCTTCACCTGGTCGGTTGCACTGCCCTCCGTCCAAAGCTTCCCATGCGTTGCTTGAAGCAGGACCTTTTTGGTCATGTAAGCTTCGGTCTACCACCATTCATCCCGTCCATTGCCACGATGTGGTATTCGGTGAGCCTGCTTAGGTGTTGATGGTATTACTCCAGGAGGCAACCCAACAGAACGACGAGGCAAACTCTGTCGAAGTCAATGCCATCACGACTGTCAACTTTCAGGTTTTGGGCCAAACTTTAGGAAACAAAATCGCGATGCAGTGTCACGGTTGTCCGGCAAACAAGAATGTCGGAGGTAGTCCGAGGATTTTCCAGGTGGACATTCGTCGGATTTAGGTCCGATCAGCATTGCCAATGGCACCCCAGCTTCTCCGTGGAGTTCAAACATGACTGTGTCATTGGGCTCCAGGTCCAAGCTCCAGCCTCTCCCTAGCTCCTACTCCAGCTACGGGCTGCAGTTCTCAGTGCCCAGATCCTCCAGCCGCCCGACCGGCCGCATTCCCGTCCTCGAGAGCCGGCCGGACGACACGACGAGTGGAGTCCTACCGGCCATGCCGGCTCAGGGTCATCTTGGCCTTCAGAAGTCTCTTATATCACCATGGCGAACTCTGTCAATTGAATCGAGTTTGGAAGGTTAAACGTTTCAGTTCAGCCTTGTTGACCGCTTCGAGTACAACCAAAGTTTGCAGGCGACAGGTGATCACGGTGATCTCTCCGCCTAGGCAGGGTAATTGGAGGATATCAATAGCGCAAACTCTCTCTCAGGGACCCTTCAACCCCGTCCAGGTCCCGGTAGAGCGCTTGCGACGACCGTGCGGGGGCCCGGCAGGCAATGGGAAGGGACTTATGACGACAAGGTGTGCGATACAAGTACGAGTGCGGTGTCGTCAGGGATGCAAAAGTCAAAATCCCACCAACGACTCCGCCGGGCTGAAAGGTTGGTATGCTCTCGTGATTTCTACATTACTCACTGCTTACTTTTCGGCCATTCGCCGCGCAGGACAACGTGTTGTTGGTTGGTAGTAAATTAAGGCCACGCCTTGCACGACTCTGGCCCTTGGCTCTGGGCCCCTCCACCGAGCTCCTCCGAAGCGGAAGCGTGCACTTCGGGTCCGGCTCGCGGTTCGCCGCTCTCTGGAGTCTGGATATCTGGGTCCCCTGATGCAATGCCACCCCACTACGGATAATTTGCTTGGCGCCAAACCTGGATCGGATACAGGTATCCTGGTGGTCGTTGAGTGGTTGAAGTGCAGATACGGGGGTGAATCTATCGCAGATCGGTGTGGGGGGGGGGTGCGCGTGCTGTTAGAGAGAGTGTGTCTCTAAGCTTGTCTGCCTCTCCACCCACACACACATCGCTGCAGAGAATGGATGTTGTCTGTGTCTACAGTGACTTGCAGGTTGCGGGATGTTGCTGCTGATGACACAGGCACACACAACTCCCACGGTAGTTCGGATGGTTTTAATTCTTGTGAGCTTCCTTAGCCACCGCTTCGAGTTCTTCGCGTGGCCATCGCGGCTAATGCGGGATCAGGTCCCTAATAGGCTTTTTCTCGAATCTTTCCATCTTCGTCTCCGTGTCCGAAGGCCTCCAACAACCATCGCCTTCACCGAGGCTCTCGAAGTTTAACTGTTGCCGAACACAATGCTTTGGCATAAACTGTCATGAGCCCACCAGCGGCACGTTTTGCGAATTATTGCCCTTTTTCAACCTAACGCGACAACATGCTGGATATTTCTCGTCTCTTCCCCATGCGCAACATCGTTGTAGCGGTCCACTTGGTGGCGGTTATCGTGCATCGTATTCGATACTTTTGGGATAAGTACACTGCCTCCCCGCTCGTTCTCGATCCCTGATTCCACATGGGTTGCGAAAGATGCCGGCCGGATAGCGCTTCCAGTCGGGGTTGGACTGCGAAGCCCTGGCGCGGTTGGAGCGCGGTTGGGTCCCCTGGGCAAGAGATTGCCCCGCTGGATGATGGTAACGTTGGCGAAATATCGTCACTGTTAATAAGGCGTATTGACATAAGCAGCGCGGTCTTGAGCCTCGTTCTTGAGTCAGGGAGAGCGGTTCGCAAGGGGTCTTTTTCGTCAAGCACTCCAGCGGCTCATTCCGCGGTGAGAATGGGGGCCAGTAATAACCGCCAAGCTCCCCAAGTTCCAAGCAACAAAAGAAAAGACCCGCCGTTTGTTACGTGTCGAAACGGTCCACTTTTGAAAGTCCCAATTTCTACTAATACTGGGCAACCCGACGTCAAGAGTTGAATCAGCAACATGGGACCGGTTCAGACATGGCCCCCCATCACCCCCATACCACAGCAAGCCACATTGCCGAGGGAATCCCGAGCACGTTGTTGCTCAAGGAAGACCTGTTCCTGAAAGGCATGATGTTTACCAAAGTGCTGTCTATCACTCTGTCTCTACGGGCAGGCGACTCGAACTTACTTTACCTTTTGACATCTGGCTCGTTTCACGGGAACGGCTCAATATGGTAGGCTTCTAGAAGCGTGGCGGGTTGTTTCAGGTAATTCTCGCTGACAAAGAGGCGAAGACCGAGACTCGAAATCGCGAACAAAGAGGCGGCTCCGTGGAAAGGGGATCCCTTTGTGAGTGGACCGGCGGAGGTCCCAGATAGGCAGTCCGATGTCTGGATGGTTTTGCTTTTTTCGTCTTTAAAGTTTTTCTGCCTTTCCGTAATCGTGCCACGGCAAGGCAAGAATGGCATTCGCGGTGAGCGAAGACAGTTTGTTTCATGTCACTCACATACTTGGGCTCATGTTTTTCTGCCCAGATGTGGCGTCAATGGCAGCGATGATGGGATGTTGTCTTCTGCCCGCGAATCCACGATTCGCAGGTGGCCGCTGGCGGACCGGGCGGGACGAATCCCGGGATCGATCCCCACCACTCCGTGTAAGTTGGTGGTGGTGTGCGAAGAGAAGATGTGTGGACGGAGACAGGCAACTCAAGCCACCACACCACGAGAGCAGAGTGCGTGTGTCTGTCTGTCTGTCTGTCTGCCCGGCCGTTGCTCACCCGTGTGCTACCACGTGTAGCGACATATCCTAACTGACGTATGCAGGTAGGGTCATGACATGTAGACAGACCGACCTCATGACACGTCGTGAGAGTGACATCTACCCTTCTAGCTACGTTGCACCCCTCACGCAAACTCAAAATTGCGGTTCGCGTATCGGGTGGTGACGATACCGTCCCTTTCTGCTACGGCTGGCAAGAGGTCCCCCAAATTCGAAGAGCCTTGCTCCCGGTCCGCAAGGTGAATAAGCTTTCGATTTAATCAAATCAGCGCTTTTTTGCCCCAGTACAGTAACTTTCTGCTTTTTCTTTTTTTTCGTTCCTTCTCCTCTCACCCCCCTTGCCAAGATCTTTAATAAATATCATTGGAGTACTTTGCTTTCGATTGAGTTGACCCTTTGCCTGGTTTTATTGAATCATCTGGTGATGGAGAAATGTCTCGTCCCGCGCCTCGAATTTCCCTGATCTTGAGCAAGATGGACGTGGATGGAGTTACAGTTCCACAAAACTCCATGATGGCAGCCAAAATGTCGCC